AAATAAAAATAGAAATAACTAGCCGTAAGTGGAATTTTGTCTTGAGGCAATTAAGGCATCGTGCCTTAAGAAAAATTGCTCGAACTTCCCGTACCAAAAATTATTATTTTTTAAAAACGATTAACATTTTTGAAAAAATTCTGCTTCGAAAAAATTAGATTTTTGAGAAACTATAAATTTGACAAAAAATTACTTTGTTTTGAAAAAAATTTTTTTTATTGAAAACAAAAATTTTTTGAAACGAAAAATGTTTTCTTTATGTTGACATATTTTGGAAATTCTGAACTTTTTTCAAAGCAATCGTACTGCTTGAACTGCATAGAGACAAAATGTCAAAGCGCGCAAGTGCCGCGCCGCCGTCTACCGCATATTAAGCATTGATACGGAACCCATAGAAATGTAAAAAAAAAATATACTTAGTAATCGCAAAAAAAATCGAAAATGAAAATTTTTATATATCTTTACATTTCAAAGGTTTCTGAATATTTTGGCATACCTAAGATACGGGGCAAAAAGTGCCAAAAATGGTAACTCAGTTTCTAAGAGAACGGAGCAACCGATTTTGGTAATTCAAATAACATTTTACTTGTATTGACAAGATGAAGAACTGAGCAAATTTTTGGAAAGGCAGGTTCGGCGGTTATGGACTCTCATTAAAAACAAGTTAAAAAAACGTCATTTGGCGGTCAAAAATGTTTATTAGACATATGTACATCAAATTATCAGATATTTTATAGAGATTTATGTACACATTTTGTGTAAATTTTATTGGGTTCCTTACCAAGATTTTTATTTGCGGTAAGGAAAGTTTCAGCAACTTGCCTTAAGGCACGATGCCATGCGCCCCACTAGTTTAACAAATGTGTTCACTTCAAATGATGATATTATTGACAACGTTGTGAGGAATGCTCTAAAAACAATTCATGATGATTCTATAATTATAAAAAAGTAACACCAAAAGAAATAAAAAAGTTTATTAAGCTTATAAACAATTAGAAGAGTGCAGGGATAGATAACATAAAAGTAAGGGTCTTGAAAAAATTGTCAAGAAAAGCAATTGTTCTGCTGGCACATATTTATAATACAATATTTAGGTTTGGATATTGGCCAAAATATTTTAAAATCTTAGAGGTTATAATGATTTTTTAAACCAGCTTTAAATGTCACATCTTACAGACCAATCAGTTTACTGCCAATTCTATCCAAATTGTTGGAAAAACTATTGTTAGTAAGAATAAAAGAGTATTTAAATATAATACCTGATTATCAATTCGGATTAAGAACCCAACCCACAATACAACAATGCCATAGGATAGTAAGTAGTATCCTAAAGGAACTAGAAAAAAAGGAATATTGTTCAGCAATCTTTATCGATATCAAACATGCATTCGATAAAGTATGGGAAAAAGGCTTACTCTTCAAAATAAAAAAATCTTTGCCGCACAAGATATTTTTGTTATTGAAATGTTACTTAGCAAACATATTATTCAGAACTAGAGTTGGAACAGAAACATCAGAATTACGTAATATTTCCACAAGGGAGTGTTTTAGGGCCACTATTGTATCCCATATATACACACGACATTCCAACTGATAGCAATGTAATAATTGGAACTTTTGCCGATGATACAGTTGTCATGGGGACTCATACAAGTGCATCCGTCGCAACGGCAAATGTTCAACAATATGTCTCCAAATTTGAAAAGTGTCTTTCTAAAAAAAATAGTTTTTGGTACGGGTAGTTCCAGAATTTTGAGGGTTAATTTAATAAATGAGTAAAAAAATATATTGCGAATTTCTATGTGGTTATGATAAATTTGATAACTGGTGTATGGGATCGTGTCTTAAGGCAAGTTGCTGAAACTTTCCGTACCAGAATTATATATTCGAGGGAAAAAATTCAGTAATCAATAAAAATTGATCAATTATTTACTACAATTGTTTCATACATTTCCAAATAAATAATTTTAATTACTAATTATCGTTCATAAAAAATACAATAAGGATCATATCGCTCAAAGCACTTGAGTAAAGTTACATTAGCAGGAGGTGAATGAATGAATCCGTCTGATGAGGATATATTTCTTACGATTAGAATAACGCATTTGAAATATATACATTTTAAAACTTTTTTTTGCATAGATTTATTGCCGATCAAAATAATATACAATTTTTAAGACGATATGCTGGGTGTAAATGTATTTTAGAGATTATCTCCTATGAAATATATCTTTTTTTATTTTTTGACATTTTATTTAAGATCGTATTTTTTTCAATTTTCGAGTAGGAGATTCCTCGCTTAATTCTTTTAAATATTTGTTTGGGTGACCTGGTAATTTTTTGTGGTATTTTTTCCACCTTTCTTTTATCATTTCATTAATAGTTTTAATTATTAATTCTTTATGTAGAGTATCATTCTCAATATACCAGGGTGCGTTCACAATGCATCTTAAAATTTTCGATTGCGCTCGCCCATAGCGAATTCCTTATGTCCAGATTAGGATAATTATTGTTTTATATAAAAGAAGTTTATTTTCATAACACATATTTGAATTCCTGCCAATTAGCCAATACAACTCTTTGAACTTCTTCTCCATCTGTTTTCTTTTCATTTTGATGTGCGTTTACCAGCTTAATTTTCTATCCAGATGAATCCCAAGGTATTTTACGCTCTCATATTTTGGTATTTCTATGATGTTTATTTTTACGTTAGGCAGGTCCAGAGTTCTTGTTGAGGCTATATGGCTAGATTTTGTTTCATTTATTTTTATCTTCCACTTATTGAGCCACTTTTGAAAAAAATTTACTTTGAAAAAATTAGATTTTTGAGAAACTGTTAATTTTTGACAAAAATTTACTTTTTTGAAAAAAAAAGACTTTTTGAAAATAAATGTTTTGTCTATTTTGAAATTTTTTGGAAATTCTGAACTTTTTCCAAAGCAATCGTACCGCTTTAACTGCATAGAGACGAAATATCGAAGCGCGTAAGCACCGCGTACGGATTAACATTGGTACGGAACCCATAGGAATGTAAACAAAATTTATACTTATTGCTAAAATCTCTATATAATATCTGATAATTTGATGTACATATGACCAATAAATATTTTTGACTGCCAAATGACATTTTTTAAACTTATTTTTATTGAGAGTCCATAACCGCTGGACCGGTCTTCCCAAAAGTTCTTCACCTTGTCAATACAAGTAAAATATTTTTGAACTTCCCGTAGGGCAAGTTATAGTAATCGCAAAAAAATCGAAAACGAAAATTTTTATATATCTTTACGTTTCAAAATCTTCTGAACATTTTGGCACACCTTAGAAAAAAATGATGTATGTGTGTGTGTGTATGTGCGTGTGTGTATGTGCGTGCGTGTATGTATGTGCGAATACAAATATTCGTCGACAATTTCGAAAACACGAATCAACCGATTTGAATAATTCAAAAAACATTCGATTCGTATTGACAAAGAGACGTGCTGATTAGTTTTTCGCAAAGGCAAGTCTAGCCGTTCCGAAGATACGGGGCAAACAGCTTCAAAAATGGTAACTCAGTTTTTAAGAGAACGGAGCGTCCGATTTTAATAATTTAAAAAACATTTTACTTGTATTGACAAGATGAAGAATTGATCAAATTGTCATGAAGGCAGGTCTAGCGGTTTCGGAGATCTAATAAAAAAAGTAAAAAAAAAAAAACATTTGGTGGTCAAAAACGATCATTAGACATATGCACATCAAATTATGACATATTTTATAAAGATTTTAACAATAAGTATAATTTTTTTTACATTTCTATGAGTTCCGTACCAATGCTTATGCGTTAGACGGCGGCGCGGCAGTTGCGCGCGTTGACATTTCGCCTCTATGCAGTTCAAGCAGTACGATTGCTTTGAAAAAATGTTCAGAATTACCAAAATATGTCAAAATTAAAACATGTTTCTTTTCAAAAAAAATTTGTTTTCAAAAAAAATTTTGTTTTTTAAAAAAGTAATTTTATGTCAAATTTATAGTTTCTCATAAATCTAATTTTTTCGAAGTAAATTTTTTTCAAAAATGTTAATTGTTTTAAAAAAAATAATAATTTTTGGTACGGAAAGTTCCAGCAATTTGCCTTAAGGCACGATGCCTTAATGCCTTAAGACAGAATTCCTTTTACAGCTAGTTGAATTATTAAAATCGGACGCTCCGTTCTCTTAAAAACTGAGTTACCGTTTTTGGCACTTTTTGCCCTGTACCTTCGAAACGGGTAGACCTGCTTCCGCTAAAAACTAATCAGCACGTCTCCTTATCAATAATAATCTAATGTTTTTTGAATTATTCATATACGTTGATCGGTGCTTCCGAAATCGTCGACAAAAATTTTTATCCGCACATACGCACACAAACATACATCCATTTTTTCTAAGGTATGCCAAAATATACAAAAACCTTTGAAACGTAAAGATATATAAAATTTTTCATTTTCGATTTTTTTGCGATTACTATAACTTACCCGGGATGTCGACAAGTTGACACTTAGACAGGTAGTTACTGAAACAGGTAAACACTTTGGCAAACAATATTAGACCGATAGACACGTCAATCATATCCAAATCAAATATTTATTGATTAAATCGATTATTTACACATACCGGAAAGTTTATGCATCTGAAGGCAAAATGCCACTTACGCCTAGTTCTAGCATATTTAATATAGTTTTGTTATTAAAAAACATATTTTGAATCCAAATCAAGAAGCTAATCGACGCTAACCTTCAACTGTTGTACGAGTGAAAGCTATTAAATATTAATAGTGAAAGCTCACTATTAACGTTTGTATGTAACCATATTAAACTGTTTTGAATCATTTGTAATAGAATAATAAAGAGAGCACTATTGAAATAAACACTTGTCACTTAGAAAAAATACGTTTTTATTTTTCAAAAAACTTGAATTATTTTGTAACGAAGATGAGGACAATCACATAATTCAACAATTCTAAAGTAACAAATTTCAATTTTTTCACAGGCCGTAGACATCGCCGCCCTTCCTGTAGTCTGCATTTGCATAAATTCCTGAACTGTTGACCGACATGGCGCAGATTATAGAGCCCCTGTTTCGGTAGCGCATTGTACGGTGCCCCTTGGCCTGAAGACCCTTTATCAATTGCTGAAACAAAAAATAATCAAATTCAAGATGATAGTTTGCTTGGAAACATACGCATTCGTCAAATTATTTCACGTGTTCTAGTAGTAACAAAATGTAAATGGTTTAAATTGTTTCATAAACTTCTCTAGATTGCAACGCGTCTATATTTGCGAATCGGAACAGTTCAGTTTATGTTTTTGGTTTGAAGAAATAATTTTGTATGTGAACAATTTTAAGTCTATCTTAACTTAAGTATTATGTTTTTCAGGAAATGAGTACAAAGTGTAAGACTTCAATAAATACTAGTATTCATTTTATCTTCACGGTAAATATTATTCTGACAATTATGGATAACAATAAATGAAATGAAAACTATGTGTATTTTTTCTGAATACGTATAGTAGTATTACTGTACGTATTTCCTTAAGACGTGCCCACCGCCTAGCACGCGTTATGTGTTGCTAGAATTTTTGATGCAGTCACTACAAGTTTACCATGACTTCTAGTGTGGTCTTCAAGGTGTTAAGGAAAGTAGCATGAATATTACTTATTATTATTCAGCAACTTTTAGAATTATGGCGATAAAATTTTCAACTAAAACGTTACTAGAACAAGGCCCAATCAATATTTTCATGAGTTTTTGGTCAATTGATTTGCACAAAAAATATGCAAGTAAAAGTTATCTCAATTCAGGTGGTCAATCGATATAGAAACAATGTATTTATTTAATTGGATATTTTCTGTCAAAATTCACAATTTTATTGCGAGTTATAATAAAAATTGACAAAAGTTGTATTTGAAGACTTTTGAAATGATATTTGAACAATTTTTATTGCACGTTTTCGAAAAGAAAAAAACTTACATTATTTTTTAAATTTCCAAAGGAGAAGTTTATGTTTTCATCAAAAAATGTGATTCGCTAATTTTGTGTTCTTTCGACGTTTCAAGCCATTCTGAATCGATTGAGACCAAGTTTGGAAAAGTGTGTGCGTATATGTGAAAAGATTTTTTACCGTAAATCGACGTTTTCTCAAAAACGGCTGGACTGATTTCAAAAATTTAAAAGCCATTCATGTATCTCGATGAGGACTATCGCTTGTCGCTACGATATGCCGAAACGCATCTTTGTAAACCGCAATTCTGACTCGATTTTATAAATCCAAAACCCGTTCGAAAGATATTGGTTGGGGTTCGACCTGATTAATTTTTGGTAAAGATTGACCGCGCCGTTCTCTTGTAATAAAGTGTTATTTTTTTCCAACGATTTTTGTTTTTTTTTGGCGGTAGATACCATAGATACCTGAAATACTACGGCCTTACGACAAGTAGTTTAATTTCAAAAATTCATCAAAGTTTGAGAAAATGAGTAGTTTTTTGATGTTTGTTAAGATTTAACTTAGACGGTTTACTTGGTATAACGATAGAGTGTTCGTTCGTTTTCAAATATGTGTAATAAATCCACTCGGAATACTTTAAATCACTCATAAATTAATTTATTTTTTATTGATTAAGTCGATTATTCAAACATATAGGAAAGTTCATTTAACTTGACTCAAGGCAAAATACCAATACCAACTTGTTAATGCTTCAATTTAATTTCTTAAATTTACCGAATTAGTAACTTTATGTTTTCTCGATATTTCAAGTCAGTTTGAATCGTTTGAGACCAAATTAAAAAAAGTATTTGTGTGTGTATGTGAACCGATTTTTGACTTTTTGTCGATGTTTTCTCAAAAATGGTTATTGAAAATATCAATTTTTTGGAAAGGTTATAGATAATAGTTGACAATAATGTTAATTAGTTTATGGTAAAGTCGACCGGTGCGCTTCTTTGTGATTAATAGTTTCTGTTTTTGACAATTTTTTGAAATTTTGAATATATATAGAGTCCGTATTCTTAACAAAAATAGTAACATATTACTTTGTCTAGAAAGTCACGACGCTGACATACAGGTGGCTCTACTAACAAAACTCTATACGATTTTTAGAATTGGTATGTCCGAAACGACACATGTCAAATTTGCATGATAATGCGACGTTTAGTTTACAAGTTAGAGATGTTCAAGGTTCAAGCTATGAGCTTCGTATTTTTGAGTTTTTTAAAAGCATGAAATGAAAGCAATTTCGTGTGTTGTATTAACATTGATTTTTGATGGGTAAAAATACCATACAGCAAAAGTATCGCTTGATAAGTGATATCTGGACGCAAATCGAGGCAAACGGTATTAAAGTGGTTTGCTGATGTTAATCGTCGTCATAACGACGCTGACAATGTTAAACGCACTGGAAGGCCAACTGTGGTGATATCACCGAAAAACTTCTAACAATTCACCGAACAATAAAATAAGAATAAAGCTCCCTGCGATAGCTGACACCCTATAGCTATCAAGAGAACGTGTTAGAGTTATCGTTTACGAACATTTCAATATAAAAAAGCTCTGTGTTAAACGGGTGCCGCACGACTCATATTTGAGTAAAAGCATAACAAGAGTTATATATATTAATAATATATACATTTACTTATTCAATCATATAGCATAAGCATATTTTATAATCATAACTTCCAATTATATACAACAATAAGATATATATTTACCATTCAATCAATATGTTTTATAATCAAAGTGTACTAGACTAAATATGTAACCCTATATATAGGACGCGCTCTGATTTTCATTTGGGATTCTTTAATTAACATTCAAACAGTAATCACATATATTATATCATATAATAAAATACAATATTATTAATTGTATAATTTGAATATAATAAAGTATTAAAATATAATGAAGTAATTGTATTAAAGTGAAATAAATATTATTTTTAAATAAAACCTACGTTATAAAAATATAACTGGCGCAGTCGGTAGGATATAACTCAGGCATCCATCGAGGAAACCATTGATTTTAATCATTTAGAGTTATAAACTAAAATAAATTGTGCAACAAGTGTGAATCAAGTGAATCACAAAGAAATCGTTATTGACGAGAAAAAGCAAAAGCCACCACAAGAGGTGAGTGAGACAATTTAATTAGAATTAAGAAGAAAATAAATTGATAGATCCCCTTACCTATCCTTAGAACCGAATCCTAAAGATAAGTAATACAATTTATTTTCAATACAGTTTTTAAAGATTTTCGTTAAAAGAAGTTACGAACCATTTCAATAAATTATAATTCCGCGTATGAGAGTTAGTTTATGGAAAGTGGTAGTGATTCAGAATTAGAAGGTTTAATAAGAAATTTAACAGAAATGTCTTTACAAAACATACCAAAATTCGATCATGTTCTGATTGATACCATCCCACATTACGGAGGTAACCCTTCAGAATTAAATTCTTTTATATTAAGAATAAGAGAGATCAAAAATAGATATTATGACAGGGCGAATACATCGTGTATTCAGAATGAAATAATACGAAGCGCGATTTTAACAAAATTACATGATAGAGCAAAACTAGCAGTAGAAACCGCAAATGCAAGAGAAATAGACGACGTGATAACAGTTTTAATTACTAAATTTTCTGACCAACGAGATGATACATCTATTTATTTTGACTTACATAATATGCGCCAAGGACCGAATGAAACCGTGTACGAATTCTATGAAAGATTTGAAGAATTAATAAGCATTTATAATAATTATACATGTCTTCACGTAACAAACGCTGATATTTTAAACGACCGTTGCGATAGATTCCATAAAAGTGCTTTAACAGTTTTCACAGCTCATGTAAAACAACCGTACAGTTCAGCATTGAGAAGCCGCGATATTTGTTCTTTAAATGAAGCTCTGCGAGTAATTTCAAAGGACGATAACATAAATCATATTAGAAGTAATAATTTCAACTTCCAAAACCCAATACAAAATAATAGGAGACAGTTTGAACGACACAACAAAAATCGTAATTCATCTTACCAACAAAATCAAAATTTTTCTAATCAAAATCAAAATCGAAATTTTCCTAAGCATAATTTTAATCAAAACAGGCAACAATATAATAATTATCAATCTAATGGAAGTCATCCGCCTCAATTTAATCAACAAAATTTTAATCGAAATTTACAACAACAAAATCCAAATTATAGAGACAATTACGTTAATCAGCAATTCTCAAGACCAATGCAACGTACTGACTGGCAACCAATGAGTGGTGTTTCAACCATTAACAGCAGACAGACCCCTAACAGACAAAATCGATTTTTCAATATAGAAAACACAAATGACGAACAACCTTCAGTAGAAAACCAACAAGATGAAAATTTTTGCTATACCGACCAATCAACAGCGAAAACATAATTGAATTTCATGTTTTTCAAAATGAATTACCTTACATAAGTATTGAAAATCCAAAAATGAAAATTTTAATAGACACCGGATCAACAAAATCTTTTATTTGTCCAAGGATAGCAGTACAATATTTTGATAACCTTATTTACGAAGATCCATGTACAATAAGAACGGCACTTGCGTCATACAAAGAAAATTTTGCTTGTAAAATTCCTGCTTTTAAAGAGTTCAACACTAACGAACACCTTTCCTTTCATTTATTTAAATTTCACGAAACATTTAATGGTTTATTAGGAATAGACAATCTAAAGAAATTAAAAGCATTGATAGATCTAAATAACGAGTTACTTATATTACCGAACGTAAATTTAAAATTACATAATTTGAAATGTCCAGAAAAAATAATTTTTGATCAAAAAATTCCTAGCAAATGTATAAAGAAATATAAAATTCCCGTAAATATCAAAGAAGGAGAAATTTTAGTAAAACATCAATATTTTCCTAATTGTTTTATCCCAGAGACAGTTACATTATCACAAAACTTTGAAGCCATCGTCGAGATACATAATTTAAACGATAATGAAATAAATTTAACCTTAACAAAACCAATTAACGCAGAATTAACTAATCAAATCGAATTTCATAACTTTTATACCAAAGTAATTGACAATAAAATAAATTCATCCGATATAGAAAATTTAATCCGAACAAATCATATGAACAATGAAGAA